TTTTACATAAGGGCCTTTTTCTGTTTTTCATGCTACTTTGTACAGTGAAATCACCTGTTTGGTAGTGTTTGAGATAAAAATTGGCTGTTGCCTCACATTGACCTTGTATGCATTACATAGGGAGTTAAGGTTATCATCCCTACTACTAACCGTCATTATGCCGTCTTTTTCTGCTTTTTTTGCCTTGCACAATATTTGGGGGGTCCTGGATTTTTTGGGGGGGGGGGATTCACCACTTAAGATGCTCAATAAAGGCTGGTGCCACTTTTTTGTTTGGGTATGGGGTGTTGCCATACCTTGGGGCAATAGTGAATTTTTTTATTTTCGGGTAGGATGGAAACTGTTGGGCTTTTACTGCCCAGGCGCTGTTACTCCATTCACCTTTTCCCCAGCCCCCATGATGATTTCTTTTTTCAGGAAATTTGAAGAAGAAATATAAATAAATTAGGCGCCTGTCCCCCCCCCCTAAGCCTGCCTTTTTCCACTCTTCGCTCTTTTACTCAATACAAAAAATTTTTTTCTCTTTTTCCCCCCAGACACTTAGATCTGCTTTAGCAACACCACTGAATTACTAGTATAATTTCCTCTTCAAAACCTCCATGTCACTTTTCCCTTAATCACAAAACCCTTACGTTAACCCCCTTTTTACACACTTTTCCCCTTTTTCCCTCCACTTCACAGTCGGGGCTTCACCAATTAACTTCTAACTCCTTTCCATTCTGGGGAGATCAGAAAAGGTTTAACCCCTGGGTTTTTTCCTTCAAATCCCCCCCAATTCCATTTATCGGGGTTGTGTCGTGTTGTTTCGCCTACCCGTTTTGCTGCTCAGCCATTTTTAAAACATGAGGGAAGTAAAAACCCACCCAAAAAACCCGACTTTTTGAGTTTATAGATATATTTTGGCGTTTTCTGCTTAATTCCTCCCCTGTCACTGGTCAGTGAATAAGGTCAGTACTAAAACATTAACCTTGACTGTTTAACTATTATTTCCCCTTTTTTTCCCACGACGGCATGAGGGGTACCGCCATAACCTTGGAGTTTTGTACTGTTGATTGACGATGCTCCTGTGTTTCCCTCTCGTTAGCACTGGGGACAGGTGATTTGAGGTGGTCAGATTTGATCTACTGTCAACAATGAAAAGTCAGTAAAGTGAGGATTTCACTTCGCTGTTGTACGTCTGGCAGTAGCTGCTGTTTTTTATGCCGGTCAGCCAGTTTAAAGGCTCAATTCTTTTTCCCTGTTTTTGGGACTGAAGAAAAAATCCCACAGACCCCGTCTTTCCTTGGAGATTTAGTTGAATCAGGTTTTTCTGCCATGTTGTTTTCCTTTTTAAACACTGTGCATTGAATGGAGGTCAGTTATTTCATTTTAGTGGGAAAAAGTCTATGCTGGTTTACGTCTGGCAGCAGGTCTAGTACTTTTAATGACGGGGGCCCTCTTTTTTGTCTATTTAGTCCATTTCGTTTTCGTCACCGTCAGTTTTTATGTCACTAAGGTGTGGAAAATTTTTTTTAGGGTGCTTTCCTGTATGTACCTCAACATTTATACATAAAGTTAAACTCTTGAGAGAAACCCTATTGTTTACCGTAGTCACCCCCCTGTAGACATTAAAAAAAAACTTAACCCCCTCTGGGCACTACAGGTGGGGCCCCTCGACCCCCCCAAAACTTGTACTCTACCCAGACCAGATAAATTGGGTAGGCCCTCAAAACACGGCCATTAATTAATTTTGGGGCTGTATAGTGGGGCTGCGGAAAACAAAATTTAAGTTCAACGATGAAAATTTTAATTACTCGATATGGTAAACAGAGGAAATTAAATCTTCATAGGTACAAAAAAAATTCTGGGCCACAAAATAGAGCGAAACACCAACGTCAAAGACCTGAGAGTGATTATGTCGGAGGATCTTCACCTTCAAGGACCATAACATTGTATCAATCGCATCTGCTAGAAAAATGACAGGATGGATAATGAGAACCTTCAAAACTAGGGAGGCCAAGCCCATGATGACACTCTTCAGGTCACTTGTTCTATCTAGGCTGGAATATTGCTGCACTCTAACAGCACCTTTCAAGGCAGGTGAAATTGCCGACCTAGAAAATGTACAGAGAACTTTCACGGCCCGCATAACGGAGATAAAACACCTCAATTACTGGGAGCGCTTGAGGTTTCTAAACCTGTATTCCCTGGAACGCAGGAGGGAGAGATACATGATTATATACACCTGGAAAATCCTAGAGGGACTAGTACCGAACTTGCACACGAAAATCACTCACTACAAAGCAAAAGACTTGGCAAACGATGCACCATCCCCCAATGAAAAGCAGGGGTGTCACTAGCACGTTAAAAGACCATACAATAAGTGTCAGGGGCCCGAGACTGTTCAACTGCCTCCCAGCATACATAAGGGGGATTACCAACATACCCCTGGCAGTCTTCAAGCTGGCACTGGACAAGCACCTAAAGTCAGTTCCTGATCAGCCGGGCTGTGGCTCGTACGTTGGTTTGCGTGCAGCCAGCAGCAACAGCCTGGTTGATCAGGGGCTGATCCACCAGGAGGCCTGTTCACAGACCGGGCCGCGGGGGCATTGACCCCCGAAACTCTCTCCAGGTAAACTCCAGGTATTAGTTTAACTGAATGAAGGGGGGGGGGTAGGACACACATGGATACATCCATCAAGGAAAAACATTTGTACATAATCCCACCACTTACCAGATATTCCCTGGTGGTCACTTGATGTGGCTGGATCACCCTTAACCTATCCAATTAAAACATACCTAACTGGCCAGTATCAGTCTGCTATAACTAGAAGGGTTACTTAACTGTGGGTGATTGATACTCCTTATTTCCTCCATTCACCATCTCATTTCGATGTCCTGCTACACCGACACGGTTCTTATTCCAGCAGGACGAGGTATCCGTCGGTTTGTCCCGGTTTAGAAGTCATGATTCCATAAAGCTTCACTATCCTCGGTACGAGAATCACGCGTTCACTCGGAGCAGGGCAATCTATTTCACATCCCGCATTCTCTTAACTCAATGTAATTATCACTGATTACATTACCATTCACAAGACGATTTAACGTCTCATAATTATTATACACATTAGAGGTCACTTCATTAAGATCTGAGGCCGATGAGCGAGGATTAACACACGGGTATTTCCCGTGGACACACACCATGGCCGCGCACCAGTCACACCCCGGTGGAACCATTATTCACTAATTTTTACCACCTTTTTTACGGTGGTCCCGTAAATCACGTTCCTCATCTTCACCAGGAACAGTTACACACTTTCCTATTATGAAATGAGGCTATGTTAATCCTTAGGCCTACTGAATGCAGTTTCCTGGTTCATGCTTCCCAGGCCTGCCTACACACATTCAAAACACAGCCGCCTCCCCATGGCCAAGTCGACCATACCACCGCACATCAGCGCATGAGCAAAGGGAACTCTGGTTTATCCTTTGTCAAATACTTTTTGACTCATATTGACACTTAAACACCTATTAGGCGCTATAGCTGCGGACAATCATAAACCCCTTTCACCTGCGGCCGGGCGGAGGTCGTTGCTAGACGACTTACATAATGTGGAGTACAATTTTCCCATCTTCACTGGCCACCTGGCTTGGGAACTCCAACATTGGTATTTACATAATCACCCATTAATTCTTTCATCCTGTTAACTCCTCAGGTAGGGCTCCATCCAAAGCACACTCAAGCCTCCATGCTTCTGGTATAACAATATTCCCTCTTATTGTAAGGTGTGACACTAAGTCTATGCTCTCGGGGCTAATTTGTTGGGCATACTGGAATTATGAGACTTTACAATAACAAGTCTCTCTCAGTATCCCAAGTCAGCCCCAGCACATTACTGCATATAGGCACCAACTCCATGGCCATCCATATTTATTGAACCCTCAAAATGGACTAATTAGTGTTCCATTCTCTCAGGGGCATAAGCCTATGCTCCCTGGATTAATTTATTGGGCATACTGGAATTATGAGACTTTAACAATAACAAGTCTCTCTCAGTATCCCAAGTCAGCCCCAGCACATTACTGCATATAGGCACCAACTCCATGGCCATCCATATTTATTGATCCCTCAAAATGGACTAATTAGTGTTCCATTCTCTCAGGGGCATAAGCCTATGCTCCCTGGAGCAAATCAACACATTAAACACTTATTAGGCACTATAGCTTCGGAAATTAAATAATTTCCACAGGTGTGCTGCCCCTTACCCTTCTGGACCAGCACTACAACTGCTGTTGCTTGCTTGTCCCCCATCACACCCTTCTCCTTCATCTGATTAAATAACCTACCCATGAATCCCCTTATCACCTCCCAATGTTGGAGGTAAAATTCAGCCGGGAGACCGTCTATTCCCGGTGCTTTGCCCTTCCTCATTCCCCTTAAAGCCAACTCTATTTCCTCTTCCGTTATTACCCCCCCCCCCTAAAGCCTTTCTATCACTATTCCCTAAATTACACGTCACATACTCACACACCTTCTCTAAATCCACATTCTCCACCTTCCCACTTGTCCAATACCCTTCATACCATTTATCCGCATACGCACACATTCCTTTCGTAGTTAGTATCTACTGTGATTAATTAGTGGTCCAAGTCGGACCGAAACATCGTCATCAGTTTTATTCTCCCATGTGCAGATTATCTGTGTATTGTACCAGTCGAGGTATTGTGCCTTTTTATTGTTTTTGGGTTCAATTCTCTGCCCTGCAACTGGGAAGTGGAGTTCAATACGGCGGTAACTTTGGTGACTCTCAGAACCTCAACAACAACAACAACCGTTGTATCCCGAAAGAAAAGAAGTAAATATTTATTTCACGTATCTTGAAGAAATATTTTAGGCTCTGGTTACATAACATACATACAAGTCTTTTAAAATGGTCTTTAGGGCAAACAGATGTAATAAGGACATAACAATTACATTAAGTAGATGAAATCTTGAACAACTCAATGAAATGAAATTGTAACTTCATTGCCTTGGGGGTCCTGGTTAATTTTCACAGGTATGATAAGATATATGCAACACTCGAGCATTTTTATACGTGAAACATTTCGTGTGTTCAGCAAAATTCTTCAGCCAAGTAAAGGAGATTATAACACGGAACTCGAAGAATTGGAGAGGTAATTTAATCAGTCCCTCAGCCTTGATACTGTATAGTCCTTGTGGCTTAGCGCTTCTTTTTGATTATAATAATAATAATAATAATTAGCGCTTCTTTTTTGATTATAATAATAATCAGCCTTGATAGATGGTGGACAGTTTCTTAGTTTAAAGCAGAGGCATAAGGTCAGAGATATATATACTGAAGAAGGTGGCTGTGTAGGCAGAATGTTTTGATAATAAAGATACATGTCTTACTCATCGATGTGTTTGTATTGTATACTATTTATAATGATACAAGTCTGACACAGCAACATTATGGCATCTTGGTACAAGGGATGTTTTCTCCAGCTCTAAGATAAGATAAGATTTCGTTCGGATTTTTAACCCCGGAGGGTTAGCCACCCAGGATAACCCAAGAAAGTCAGTGCGTCATCGAGGACTGTCTAACTTATTTCCATTGGGGTCCTTAATCTTGTCCCCCAGGATGCGACCCACATCAGTTGACTAACACCCAGGTATCTATTTGCTGCTAGGTGAACAGGACAATAGGTGTAAGGAAACGTGTCGAAATGTTTCCACCCGCCGGGAATCGAACCCGGGCCCTCCGTGTGTGAAGCGGGAGCTTTAGCCACCAGGCCACTGCGCCACACCACCAGGCCACCGGGCCTGGTGGTTAGTGGAGCCCGCTTACTTGTGACATAATCCCTGTCTACTATACCTCACTACTCTTTCCACTATATACTGTAAGTCTCTGACCTCATGTTACTTCTGTCAAGGCTGAAGGATTAATCATCTCAAATTACTTCTCTTCTACTGTCTCCTGTGTTATAATTGCCTGTATTTGACTTGAGAAGCCAGCTGCTCAAGTGAAACATTTCAATATTAAAGATACCTAAATGTTGTACATACCGTGCTAGCCATGGCATTATGCCACTCCTCCCCCCCCCCCCACATACCAAAACAACACATACCATTTAAGATTATAATATATATACTTGCACACTTACTGAGGTTTTAATACCTGGTGCTGTCCCCTTTACACTTAATCACATCCCTCAGCTGTGTAGGAAGACTTTCACTCAAATTCTTGAAGGTTTGTGGAGGTATATTATTCTATGCCTCATGTAGAGCAGCCTCCAGCTGCAGGATGGAGCTGATATCCTTGCCCAGTAAACTTCATTTCACTAATGAGCTGAGGTTCTCAATAGGGTTTAGGTCTGGGGAATTGCCTGGCCAGTCAATAAAGAACCTCATTGCACAGTCCTTAAGCCAGTGAACTACAGATTTGGCATTATGACATGGTGCAGCGTCCTGCATAAAAACCATAGCCCCACACTTGTCAAACGTCTCAGGAAAATTGTCACAAAATAACTCCAGGTAATTATACTGGTTCATATACATGTACTAGTTTTTGGGAGGCACAATGAGTTCACCAACACACTGAGCACTGAAACACCCCCAAACCATGAGTGAGTCTGGGTGTTTGGTGGGTCTAGCGGGTCACTACCTCTGGGCCGGTACACGTCTCCCATGGTTACAGGTGACGGTGAAGGTTGCTTTATCACTCCAAAGTATTTCAGACCACTGCTGAGGACTCCAGTGAAGATACTTTTTTGCATAATCCAGCCTACGTGTCTTCTGTAGCTTGGAGAGGATCGTTTTCTTAACCTGACAGTGACTACTGTAGCCCAGTTCTGACACACGTCTGTTAACAGTTCTTAAAGCCCTCTGAGAGAAGATGTGAGTTCTTTTCTTTCAATTCTCTAGTAGTTATCTTAGGTGTACTCTCTAAATGCTTCTTTAACACAGTTAAGGTATGAACATATGTCTTCTCTGAGGGGCCAGGCCGAGGTTTGGCATTCGGTAACTCTACACCACCACAAGCCTTGAAACGCTGCACCCAGTTCCTCACTGAACGCTCACCCACACCAACATTCTCCACTATTCTTTCATCTGGTGCCCAGCTTTGTGACGCCGTATGATTTGAGCTATCGTTTCAGGTGTTACAGACTTCCTTTTACCCATAATCAAACATGTATAGCCCCAAAACCAAAGGGAACACCGGACAAAAGGTGGGGCGGATAAAATACAAAAGTGCAACACTTCCTCTCACCATGGCAGCCACGTGAGCACCGAGGAGTCACTGTGGAGTATGGTGGCAGACCGTGATTTCATGCTAACGGCTGCTACCCAGCATAATACACTGACGAAAAAAGACCCCCCCCCCTGTATGGTAGACCTTTGATTTTCGTCACGGCATTATGCCGGGGCACTCACCTGGCATAATGCCGTGACTAGCACTGTATGTCTTACTCATCAACTAGTCGATATTGTCTATTATGTATAATATAATAAGTACTGTATATGGTATTTCATTTGCAAAACACAATACAGTTCAGAAGTGCTAGCATATATATTTATTTTAGTTACCAGAGGACTGGTCTAATATTTACTGTAGGGGTTGGTCAGACCTCAACCTTTATTTTAATTTCTAAAATATAAGCAAGTTATCCATACCCTAGCCAGAATAGTTTTTGCTTGTCCAATAATCATTTATTAGGTTAATTTACGTTGGTTAGGTTATACTATTAAGTTAGGTTACATTAGGCTACTTTAAGCTACTTTCAGTTAGGTTGATTTTAGACTGTTATATGGACCTTAAAACGATATATATTGTAGGGTTTTCCAGTGGATATAGATTCATTTTCTGCAAAATTTAAAAAAAAAAAAGGGCTTTGTTTAATATTGACTACTGAGACAAAATATACTGTAACCAAATTTTGTTTTTATGCTTTTGCACAAAATACAGTTATCTCGATTGCACAAGTCAGTCAGCACTGGACGATTTAAATTTTAAATTGTCATTAAATTCAAGCCAGCCCTTAAGTAAACATTAACCAGATATTGCTCTGAGTTGACATAGTTGGACATATTATGCATTAACCTGATAACAGTGTACAAGGTGAGACTGGAAAAGACACACATCCAAGCAAACTTGACAGGAAGTACAAAAATCACTTCATTGTATGTTATATTCAAATACAAATTCAAAAGTTTATTTCTTTGTGTAGTCTACAATGTGTAGTTTACATGTAGTAAAATATTGTTAAATACAGTGGACCCCCGCTTAACGATCACCTCCAAATGCGACCAATTATGTAAGTGTATTTATGTAAGTGCGTTTGTACGTGTATGTTTGGGGGTCTGAAATGGACTAATCTACTTCACAATATTCCTTATGGGAAAAAATTCGGTCAGTACTGGCACCTGAACATACTACTGGAATGAAAAAAGTTCGTTAACCGGGGGTCCACTGTACTTTAAAGAAAGCCATTAGCATGCATGAGCATTTTGGTCCGACAAGCATTGCCCTCCCTGGCGGGAAATTGTACCCTTAGTCTCCCGTGTGACAGGCGGGGATATCTAAAAGTGTTTTCTTCTTTCGAATCACCTTACCTCAGTAGGAGATGGCTGGAGGGTTAAAAGAAAAGTGTGAAATTTTGAGAGCATACATCCATATTTTACACCAGCTAGATGAGTGAATTATTTGATGGGATTTTCACCTAATAGTAACCAATGTTTTTAACCCGTAAATGGTCCAAACGTATATATACATTTTTTCAACATTTGAAAGTATGTAAAAAAAGTAGATCTTCTTTTTGTTTTTTTACATTTGAAAATGTGTAAAAAAACTTTGATCTACTTTTTTTTTTTTTGTCATATTTGAAAATATGTAAAAAAAAACGTAGATCTACTTTTGTAGCACTACACATGTGAACGTAGATCTGCTTGGACCGTTTACAGGTTAATCTATAGTAATAAGATTACAGGATTTTAATTTTCATGAAATTGTAGGTCTATATTGTTTTGTGTAGATTAGCTATGTAAAAAAAATTTATACAGTATACTATTTGCAAATACAAATATTTTTAAAAATCTAAAGTGCTTGGTGGGGTCTGACAAAGACCCCATTATGACTTTGAGTAATTCCATAAAAAAATGTAAATCTATTGATTAGCTTGTTTAATTTTTTGTCTAGAATGTACAGTAGTTATGGTATACTCTAGCTACACAGTTTATATTTCAACTTTAATACTGTAATTATACTCAGCTTATGCTCAATATAATATACTGTGTGCAAAAGTGACATTTATAATGACTTAACCTAGGATATTTAAAAAAATTCTCAAAATGATTGTGATCATTTAGGGAATACAATTTAGTTATCATGCAGACAAACAAACATATATCGGTGGTGTCAGATGAAGTCAATGACTTCAAATCACTGATGTCAGTGAGTTATCCAGGTGGCAGGTTCACTGGTTTGTTAAAATTTAACCATTGGCTATCCAACAAGCTTCTGGCAAGTGAAATGTTGCACAATTAAATGTCACATTAGTTGCATTTGTACCCTTTTACTTAACATAATTTAGGGTTAAGTTATGTTAGGTTACTGCTTGCTGATAGTTTTACTAAACTTATGTAGAGTATGGGAGAACTTCAGAATTAGGAAATTATCAGACTGACTAATTGATGACTTAGGAGCATTGGTGAGATCACTTGCCTTCTGTCAGGTGGGGAAACTGATCTACACTACCTGAATCTTCAGGTTTAGCTGAGAGAGTTGAACTACAGTTCCTTGACTTACTAAATACCTAGCTGAAAAAGTTGACTGCAGTTCCTGGACCTTCTGCATGCCTAGCTGAGGAGGTAGAGCTGCAAATCATGGGCTTGGTACATACCTAGTTATTTGAGTAAGACTGGGCTGCAGTTGATAAACATAAGTTTGAGCCTTCACCCATCCTTGCAATTAATGACCTACATGATTTTGGTGCATCATGAAAGGTAAAAAAAAAAAGTTGAGGAAGGCTGACAAATAGATTGGGAAGCAGGGATAGATGGTTGTTAGCATGTGGTAGACCTGAGAGCATGTGAAGAGATGATGGCTTTTAAGTTAAGGAGGAAGTGAGGAAGAATGTAATTTGTTTTCTTGAAAATATATACTGTGGAAGTTAACTAAGTATTGGCAGAGAGCCTGCATTGTTTCTCTAAGGAAAAATAGGACAACAGAGAGTGCAAAATTTATAGAGAAATAAGCCTAACAAGTATACTGGATAAAGTGCACCATTGGATTATTATTGAAAGGGTTAGAGGTAACATAACAAAAAAGTAGAAATACAAAAGAGAAAGGAAAATTTAGGAAGGGTAGGGGATGTGTAGACCAAGTATTCATACTGAAATTGCACAAATTGAGAAATTCTGCAATACAATATACTGATCCTCTTTGATCAAGGAATATATCTTATTTTTTTGTATGTATTGATTTGTAATGCTTAAAAGTTAACCTAGCTGACATTTTTTAATGTATAGTTTTATGCATTTAAAAGCATTTTAATTTGTAATTCATCCCTATTTCTTTCAGCAATGAGTGTAACAACAGATGTACCAGATGATGAGCTTACCATCCCACGTGCTGCCATGAATAAAATGATAAAGGAACTGCTTCCAAATGTTCGTGTAGCAAATGAGGCACGTGAACTTATTCTAAACTGTTGCACAGAATTCATTCATCTCTTGTCCTCTGAAGCTAATGAGATATGCAATCAACAACAGAAGAAAACTATAAATGCAGAGCATATATTAATGTGTGAGTACAGTAGTACATATTGCTACCATGTTAGCTTTAGCATTTGTCATTTCTGATTCTCAAAGTGCATTATAAGCACTTTGGTCTCTTGATTCTTTCTGTCACTTTATACTCTGCATTCAGATTTGAATCCATCCCCTTTCAAAGTTTATTCTCTATAAGGATTACAATGCTGAGTTTACAGAAATTTGGTTATTGTTTGGTTTACATGTAGTAAAATTGAGATTACAGAGTGTACCACTAGAACGCTTAGCATGGCTAGGCATTTCGGGCATACTTAGTTTTATTCTTAAATGTAAAATATTACAAATTATGAGGTAAGTTGGTATTATGGCTAAGTGACTAAATACTATTTTGTGAGTTTAGCAATGTGAATGCTTTTGTTTTGGCACAGTATATAGTTTCAGTATTGGAGTATCACAGGATTCATTATTTTAAGACTGAGATTAATATTTCTGTTTATGGTCAAATGAGTGAGCGAGTGTAAGTGTGAACCACCAGGTGGTATTCGTGAAGTTAGTTGACGGGGTGTATCAGGGAGATAAGATGTTTTCTAATGGTAGTTTTGAAGGTGATGAATGTGTCTGCAGTTCTAGAGTTCTCAGGTAGGGTATTCCAGATTTTAGGGCCTTTGACATACATTGAATTTTTGTAAAGGTTTAGTCGGACACGGGGAATGTCGTAGAGATGTTTGTTTCTGGTGTTATGCCTGTGGGTTCTGTCACAACTATCAAGAAAGCGTTTTAGGTCAAGGTTGATATTAGAGTTTAGTAAATACATAAGTTGTCTTTGGTTAAGTTCTTAGTCATCCATTTTAATCAGCAACAATCTGGTTACTTTATCTTTAATATATACATATGGCACCAATTCTGCCTTACCCTCCTAATTAATCTTTAATTTATACATATGCTGTCAATTTTGCTTTTTTGTTTAACACTTTGGCTGTTTCCCACTGAGGTCAAGTGACCCAAAAACAAAGAAAAAACTTTCATCATCATTCAACACTCTCACCATCACTCATGCATAATCAGTCTTTGCAGAGATGCTCAGATATGACAGCTTAGACATCCCTCCATAATGCCAATATCCCAAACCCCTCCTTTAAAGTGCAGGCGTACTTCCCATTTCCAGGACTCAAGTCTGGCTTACCAGAATTCTGCATTATCCTCGTAATTAATCTTTAATTTGTATGTATGGAACCAATCCTGCCTTATGCTTCTAATTAATTTTTAATTTATACTTATTGTACCAGTTATACCTCACCATCCTAATCTTTAATTTATATGTATGATACCAATACTTTCTTACCCTCCTAATTATCTTTTATGTCTTAAACTTAGTGCTTTTTTTGTTTTTGTTCTCTCTTTTATTATAACTGACTGATCCACTCATATTTAGCCCATTCTATAAATACAGAAATTTTGTTTTAACACACCAGCTGTCTCCTGCTAGGGTAGAGTGACCCAGTGAAGGAAATCCATTTACCATCACTAAGTCCTAGGTAATGTGCAACACACCTGGTTGTCAATATAATGTGCAACACACACCTGGTCATTAAGGTAATGTGCAACACACACCTGGTCATGAGCATATTTGATAGGAGTGAATGGAGACAAATGGTTTTTAGGACTTGCCGTGCTGTTGGAGTGTGAGCAAGGTAACATTTATGAAGGGATTCAGGGAAACCGGGAGGCCGGAATTGAGTCCTGGAGATGGGAACTACAGTGTCTGCACTCTCAAGGAGGGTGTTAATGTTTCAGTTTTATAACTGTAGTGTAAGCACACCTCTGGCAAGACAGCGATGGAGTGAATAATGATGAAAGTTTTTTTTTTCGGGCCACCTTGCCTTGGTGGGAAACGGATTGTAGATGAAGGAGGCTTTAGAATGGGTAGGGATGTGTAGATCAAGTGTTTACATTGAAACATATACAGTATGTGAACAGTATTTAGATAAAGGTAGAGAAGTTTTCATTGCATTTATGGATTTAGGAAAGGCATATGATAGGGTGGATAGGGGAGTAGTGTGGCAGATGTTGCAAGTGTATGGAATAGGTAGTAAGTTACTAAATGGTGGTTGACTAGGCAAGCACCAGACAAGCTTGGCCCATGGCCGGGCTCCGAGAGTAGTGAAACTCTCGAAACTCTTCAAAAGTTCAAAAGTAAGGTATGCTATAAACAGTTTTTATGAGGATAGTGAGGCTCAGGTAGAGTGTGTTACTTTTTGTTGATGATACTGTCCTTTTGGGAGATTCAAAAGAAAAGTTGCGAAGGTTAGTGGATGAGTTTGGGAGGGTATGTAAAGTTAGAAAGTTGAAAGTGAGCATAGATAAGAGTAAGGTGATGAGGTTAACGATTTAGATAAAGAAAAAATGGATATCACATTGGAAGGAGGGAGTATGGAATAGTGAAGGTGTTTAGATATTTGGGAGTTGACTTCTCAGCAGATAGGTTTATGAAGGATAAGGTTAACCATAGAATTCATGAGGGAAAAAAAGTGAGTGGTGCTTTGAGGTATCTGTGGAGACAAAAAACATTATCCATGGAGGTAAAGAAGGAAATGTAAGAGAGTATAGTGGTACTAACACACTTATGTAGGTGTGAAGCATGGATTGTAAGTGCTGCAGTAAGGAGGAGGCTGGAGGCAGCGGAGATGTTGTGTCTAAGGGCAATGTATAGTATAAATATTATGAAGAGAATTTGTAGTGTGGAAATTAGGAGGCGGTGTGGAGTTACTAAAAGTATTAGGCGGAGGGATGAAGACGGATTGTTAAGGTGGTTTTGTCATTTAGAGAGGAGGGAACAAAGTAGAATGACTTGGAGAGCATATAAATCTGTAGGGGACGGAAGGCGGGGTAGGGGTCATCCTCGAAAAGGTTGGAGGGAGGGGCAAAGAAGGTTTTGTTGGCAAGGGGCTTGGTCTTCCAGCAAGTGTGTGTGAGTGTGTTAGGAGTGAATGGAGACAAATGGTTTTTGGGACCTGACAAGCTGTTGGAATGTCAGCAGGGTAATATTTTGTGAAGGGATTCAGGCAAACCGGTTACCCGGACTTGAGTCCTGGTGGGGTTTGAGATATTGGCTGTTTGGAGGGACATCTAAACTGTTGTAACTGAGTGCCTCTGCAAAGACAGTGATTATGTATGAGTGATGGTGGAAGTGTTGAATGATGATGAAATTTTTTTCTTTCTTGTTGGGTTTTTCTTTTTTTCATTTTGGATCACCCTGCCTTGGTGAAAACGGCCAACGTGTTAAAAATAACATGTATGGAGGATTTATATGTGTAAAATATGACTATTTTGTAAAATAATATAGTACACTTTACATAAACTAAGAATATAAACACATGCATGAAGTACATTTTAGACAGGCTTGCCTTTTAAAATGCCAATTTGAAACATATATGGTTGTACTATACAGTACAGTACTGTATATGAAAATTAAAAAAATATCTTTCAAGCTAGATATCATTGTTGCCTATTAATTTCATTATAAATTTAGCTTTGGATAAACTTGGTTTTGGTGACTACCGTGCCGATGCTGAGGCAGTGTTGAAGGACTGTAAAGCTATGGCAGCTAAGAAGAGACGAAAAAGTACACGTCTAGAAAATCTTGGAATCCCCGAAGAAGAACTCCTCAGGCAGCAGCAAGAGCTCTTTGCAAAAGTATGTACAAGATATTCATCACTTCATGTTAACATTGTGCATTTTGTTTCTTATATTCTAATCATTTTTTTTAGCACATCAGCCAATTTTTCATCACGGTAGGATGGTAAGTAACGGATTTAGAAAAAAGGATATGATACCATGGATATGGAAGTAATGAGGTAGATGTTGCAAATGTAAAGAATAGGTAGTAGATTACTAAAAGCAGCAAAGAGTTTTTATGCAGTGAGTGGGGCTCAAGTTAGGGTGTATGTAGGAGATAAGAGCACTTATTTTTATTTATTAACACATCAGTCATTTCCCACTGAGGCAGGGCGACCTGTAAAAAAAAGAAGAAACACTTTCATCATCATCATCATTCACTTCATCACTGTCTTACCAGAGATGTGCCTACACTGCAGTTAAAACAAAACTGCAACATATCAACACCCCTCCTTCAGAATGCAGGCACTGTACTTCCCACCTCCAGGACTCAAGTTTGGCTAACCGGTTTCCCTGAATCGCTTCATAAATGTTACTGTGCTCAGATTCCAACTGCACAAAAGGTCATGAAAACCATTCGTCTCCACTTGCTTCTATCTGACATGCTTACGCATGCTTGCAGGAAGTCCAAGCCCCTTGCACACAAAACCTCCTTTACCTCCTCCCTCCGACCTTTCCTTGGACAACCCCTGCCCTGCCTTCCTTCCACTATAGAAGATTTATATGCCCTCCCAGTCATTACACTTCGTTTCGTCCTCTCTAAATGCCCAGACCACCTCAACAACCCCTCCTCTACCCTCTGGATAATAATTTTAGAAACCCAGGCACTTCCTTCTAACTTCCAAGTTACAGATTCTCTGCATTATACATGTATTCACACCACACGTTGTCCTCAGACACGACATCTCCACTGCCTTCAGTCTTTTTCTTGTTGCAATATTCACCACCCATGCTTCACACCCATATAAGAGCATTGGTACAACTGTACTCTCGTACATTCCCCTCTTTGCTTCCATGGATAACGTTCTTTGTCTCCACAGACTCCTTAGTGCTCTACTCATCTTTTTCCCTCATCAGTTCTATGATTCACCTCATCTTTCATAGACCCATCTGCTGACAAGTCCACTCTGAAATACCTGAATACATTCACTTCCTCCATACTCCTTCCCTCCAATTAAATATCCAGTCTTTCACTATCTAAATTTTTTGTTATCCTCATCACCTTCCAAACTTGCTCACTAACCTCTGCAACTTCTCTTCAGAATCTTCCAAGAGCACAGTGTCATCAGCAAAAAGCAACTGTGAGAATTCCAACTTTGTGTTAGATTCTCTCTCTTTTAATACCACACCTCTTGCCAACACCCAAGCATTCACTTACTCTTACAACCCCATCTGTAAATATATTGAACAACCACAGTGACATCACACATCCCTGTCTAAGGCCTACTTTTACTGAGAAATAATCTCCCCCCTACGTACTCTTAACCTGAGCCTCACTATCCCCATAAAAACTCTTACCTTCTTTCAGTAACCTCCCGCCTATTCCATACACTTGCAACATCTGTTACATTTCTTCCCTATCTACCCTAACATATGCCTTTTACAAATTCATAAATGCAATGAAAAACCTCTTTACTCTTATCTAAATACCATTTACCTATGTGCTTCAGTGTAAACACACCCCCTACCCTTCTTAAACCCTCCTTGTTCATTTGTGATCCCGCTCTCCGTATTACTCTTAATTTTTTCAGTAATGACTCTCCACTTTACCAGGTAGTATATACTCACCAGGCTAATTTCCCTATAATTTTTGCACTCTTTTGTCCCCTTTGCCTTTATTCAAAGGAACTATGCTGCTCTCTGCCAATTAATAGGTACCTTCCCCTCTTTCAACCATTCCAAAACTGTGTCCCCCACCTCATCAATCTCAGCTGCTTTATCCCTTTTCATTGTGCCCACTGCCTCGCACACCTCCCCCACACTCAGGGGACCCCAATGGAAATAAGTCAGTTTGTCTGACTTTTTTGGGTTATCCTAGGTTCTCTACACATGCTGCTATGTATGATAATCTATGTACAGTGGACCCCCGCATAACGATGGCATCACATAGCGATTATTTCGCATACCGCTTACTTTAATTGCAAAAATTTTGCCTCGCATACCGCTTAAAAACCCGCTTACCGATTTTCGTCCGAGACGCTTCCAATGTGCGGCCTGAGCCACGCTCACATGTTCCGCTGGTGGCATTGTTTACCAGCCAGCCTCCGCAATAACATCCAAGCATACAATCGGAATATTTCGTATTATTACAGTGTTTTCGGTGCTGTTTCTGGAAAATAAGTGACCATGGGCCCCAAGAAAGCTTCTAGTGCCAACCCTGTGGTAAAAAGGGTGAGAATTAGTATGGAAATTAAGAAAGATTTTGAAGGGTTTGGGGCTAACCCTGAGAAGCCTATGCCAGTTGTGGAATCCATTGTGCCTACTTCAAAAATTAAGGAAATGTGTGCACAGTGGGTTGAACTGCAAACCTTTATGGATGAAAATCACCCTGACACAGCTGTTGCAAGCCGTGCTGGTGACTATTTCAATGACAATGTTGTGGCCCATTTTAGACAAATCGTAAAGGAACGGGAGGTACAGAGCTCTATGGACAGATTTGTTGTGCGACAGAGGTCCAGTGACTCTCAAGCTGGTCCTAGTGGCATTAAAAGAAGAAGGGAAGTAACCCCGGAAAAGGACTTGCTACCTCAAGTCCTAATGGAAGGGGATTCCCCTTCTAAACAGTAAGAAGATAATGCTCTCCCCTCCTCCCATCCCATCAATCATCACCAGATCTTCAATAAAAGTAAGTGTCATGTAAGTGTGCATGCCTTTTTCAGTTTGTGTGTATTAAAATTAACATTTCATGTGGTAAAAAAATTTTTTTTTCATACTTTTGGGTGTCTTGCACGGATTAATTTTATTTCCATTATTTCTTATGGGGAAAATTCATTCACATAACGATTATTTCGCATAACGATTACCCCTCTTGCACGGATTAAAATCGTTAACCGGGGGTCCACTGTAACTGTATTTGTGTATACCTGAATAAACTTACTTTCTTACAACATGCTCTACCTCATTCCTTATCTTCATCAGTGTTTAACAGTTCCTCAAAATATTCCCTCCATCTTTCCAATACTTCCAACTCTCCATCTAATAGCTCTCCTCTCCTATTTTTCACTGTCATATCAATTCATTCCCTAGGCTTTCTCAACTTATTAATCTCACTCCAAAACTTTTTCTTATTCTCAGGAAAATTTGTTGATAGCATCTCACTCACTCTCTCACTATTTTGCAATAAAAAACTAGATTTTAAGCAGGAATGTGTGATGTTACCGTTGTTGTTTAGCGTATTTATAGAGTGGACTGTAAAAGAAGTGAATGCTAATGTGCTGGGGAGGTGAAGGATTAATATACACAGCCTCTCCTCACTTAGCGACGTGCTTGTTTACTGATCATTCGGACTTACGACCAGCTCTCCAACCATATGCAAACCTAAATAATGTATATTAGAACTGATTTCCTGTATTCTGTTTATTACAGTATGCAATAAACTACTGTTTAAACATGTAAAAAATATACCAGAAATGTTATAAATGGTGCAAATGTGACATTAAAAAAATATCTAAAGATGATTGACACAAGCCCACTACCAGTATAGGATGCTCCTCACTTAACGACGGGGTTCTGTTCCTTAGAGTAGGTCAGTAAGCAAATTGGTCATTTAGCAAAGAGCATGCTATACTGGTAGTGGGCTTGTGTCAACCATCTTTGATGATGACAAATTTCTTTTGGAAAATTCTGAGCAGAGGTTGCAGAATCTGGTGAATTAATTTGGGAGGGTATGTAAAAGAGGGAAATTAATAGCAAACATAGAAAAGAACATGGTGACAAATAGTACAATGAAAAGTCTAAGCAATGAAAGATTGGCTATCGGATCGGGAGGAAGGGGTACTGAGAAAGTTAGTGTATTTAGGTTTTTGGGAGTGGATACACAGAAGATAGGGAAATGAAAGACTAGATGACCTATAGAATAGATGTGGAGATGAAGGTAGGTGGTATGTTGAGGTTTCTGTGGAAAGAAGAAAGATTATTACAGTGGCAAAATAAAGGGGAGAGAGAGGAATGTACTCTAGAGGAATCAGTACTCTTTTCTGGATGTGAGGTAATGGCTTTAAACTTTGCAGCGAGGAGGTTGCTAAATGCAGTGAAAACGTCATGTGTGAAAACATTGTGCAGTGTGAATCTTGTGCAGAGAAGTCAAAGTAAAGAAATTAGGAGATGATGCATAGTTACCAAAGGTATAATTTAGAGGGCTGGGGTGGTTGTTTAGGTGGTTTGGTTATTTAAAGATATGGAGAAGGCTAGGATAAACTAGAGGGTATGTACATTTGGAATGGAAGGAAGGGTTAGAGGGAAAACTAAAGGATATGAGTTCTAGGTTTGTGTGAGCATGTTAGTTTGGAATGAGTGTAGATCATTTTTTTTTTTTTAGCATTGTGTGGTATTTAAGTGTGAGCTAGGTAACATTTGTGAAGGAATTCAAGGAAAACCAGATAGCTAGATTTAAATCAGGAGGTGGGTAATACAGTTCCTGCACTCTAAAGGAAAAGTGGGGATATTCCAGTTTGGAGAGTCATTTGAATTTTGATGTCTCTGTACTTCTGGCAAGACAGCTGTTCAATGAATAATGGTTCATGTGCTGTATTCCCTATTTTCAGTCATCCTACCTAACCTAACCTTTATCGGAGATAACCACTGTGTTACAAAGCATTTATAATGGAGGTTTGTCTTAATATATTGTTGCAAGAAACTAAAGCCATTGAATTATTTATTTGTAGGCCCGGCAAGAACAAATGCTGGTGGAGCAACAACAGTGGCAGATGTTACAGGCTCAGGCAGCAGCAGCTCAACAACAACAGCAAGAACAACAAACTATTGATGACGATGAGGACTACTCCTAAAGTCTTTTACCTATTGTATTGCCAATAGTATTTGCCTCTAAATTTTCTAATGCTATGTTTTATAAGATTAAGCTTGTCCATTACTTGTTTTCATTTAGTTTAAATTGCATGCAGTACTGTATTATTGTTGGTTGATAAATATTTGGTGCATGTGTGATAAGCTCCATATTATTTTTGGAAAACATAAGAAATGTTGACTATTTTTTAACTCTGTTCTTCCTTTTAGCCATCACACATTTTCAATTTTTACCCCATTGTGACCTTTTGTTACTTATGTTGGCTGTGGTAGAATATATATTGTTATATCCCAGATTTTTCTCAAGAAGAGATGCATTCATGCAGATAAAGCATTTTTAACTTAATTGTTAAATGAAATTACTGGTTCTATAGTTGAAATACTATACTATACATATATGGAGTATTGTTGTTTTAAAATTCATCTTAGATTAAAATATGGGGTTTTGTGACGAAGTGGGATTTGTTTTAAATAAAAATCGCTTAGTTAATTTCTCCAGAAATCATTTCAGCACAGACTCGAAAAGATTTAATGCTTTGTTGTGAATACACAGTAATGTGTAATGCATTCTGGTCATATTACAGAGGATTAGGTATTGCACTTTGTTTTTCTGATGGCTTATTTTTATTATTTATAATTAGAAAACGAAGGATATTCTGAATATATTTAACACATTTTTCCTGCTTTTTTTCCATCCTTTCCGACAAGTGCCTCCAACCCCTTGAAAACGGGGAAACAATATAATGATAGTGACTAAAAGTAGTGAGATATTGCTGCTTCATAAATGATGTTGGTTTTTAATTCTATTAATTGGATCATCTAAAATATTCAGGTGACTTACTAACTGAATTAAAAACATCAGTATCAGGAACAAGAAGTTGGCAAGTCTGGATGTGACCTCCTTGGTCACATAGATTCCTGTGGACCAAAAAGGTACACAACAACCCATCTATATATATATATTGTCCACTTAGAATTTTTTGTAAATTTCAGTTGTGTCAGAAACAATAACAAGTTCTATAGACAGTGTTAAATAAAGTATTAGAATGGGTTTACTCATCATTGCAGTTCTTGCTAACTTGTTCATGGTACAAGTAGTGTGACTTTATTATGTTACTTAGATGATATACTTATCATCCCCACCCCTTAGAAGAATGAACGGCCCATCCATTTTACCCTAGAAATATCAGCAAATAATGAGATCCCTTTCTTTGATGTCCTTGTACACACACATCAGTCCACACTGAAGTTCCAGGCTTTTCATCATCCCACCAACAGAATGTTCTTCATTTCTGTTAACACTACAAAATTTGCTAGGTGTTCATGGAATAACAATTATTTTCACATTTCCTTGGAGCAAACTATGGTACAGGCAGGGACAACTCATGGTGAGTGAGTCATAAAACTCTAGACCAATGAGTTCAATCCCCGCCCATACTATGGTTTGTTTGCAATTGTGTCATTACAATTTCTTGAGTTTCTTGGAGCATGTGAAAAGAGCTTTTACTATACTCAACCCACCCAGAACAGAAACCAACACTAACTCTTTCATCATTCTTCCTAACAACAGTGTAGCTGAGAATGTTATAAAGGCTTTATTTACACAAACCATCCGAGTACCAACAGCCAAAACCACCAAGACCAAAACAGATAGTCTTGACAATAGTGATGGTGGCATTTACACATTAGAGGCTGCTAGGTTTATGTAGGTAAAACATGAACAAGTTTAATTACACATATTGCGGAACATAAATACACTTACACTAATAAGCAATGTTTGTGTCTTTCATCATAACTTTCATAATCATCTCATGAAGGACACAGAATTATAAAACAATCTAAGCTTTGTAAGAAGAGATGTCTGAAAGGTTCTCTCATATCAGTCACAGACACAATCACTCAACATAGCAATAGCTTCAGCATCTCGGAGGTATTTGCAAGAATCATCTTAATACACCACAACACTTCTATCATTTAACATACTGTATATGATTATTTTATACTTTGTTAACTACCTTTTACTTTAAACCCAATGATCTTTGTTGTCATTACCTGCTATTTCATGTCATCTTTCTGTATATGTACTCTCTGTTCTCTCCTGATATCTACATATGTTGAGGCTCAATAAAGCTCCTGGCGAGTGTAACATAACCTAAATAAAATATTAAAACCTTACAAATGTGTCCATCTACCTAAATTGACTGTGTATACATATACCATTCATACTCTCGTACTTCATTTTTTGATGAGCCAACTCCATTCCTCTCATATAGGTTTGGTACTGAACTTCTTTAATTAAAACTCACATGTCATATTATAGTTTCATAGTATGGAGTATGTGTGTTGGACACTGCTAAGTATCAACTTAAACCAATGTATGTTTGTATATACCTTTAGCTGGCAGGACAGACATTGACTGAGGGATGGTATATGTTTCCTTTTTTGCATCAGTCTACCTTGGTGGAAGAATGCCTTGGTGATAAAAAAAATTTTAGGATAATATACACTACTCTCTTTGTCGATATTCTTAGCATTAACGTGTGTACTGTACTTATCTAGCTGTGTTTGCAGGAATGGTCAATACTTCTGGCCCCTGCCTCTTAACTTTAATAAACTTTTTTTTTCCCCAATTCATGGCCTCCACGACCAGGTCATATCTACTCATAAAAACTGTACATAATGGTTTGCACATCTAGTGCAACATTTTTACTCACCTCCCTGAGGCTGGGAACAAATTCTTGTAAGCACTACTATAGTTTGTCTATGGCTTTAGCTACTATCTGTGTCCTTGGCTTCATCTCCTTGTATATCAAACTGCCTGTCTCTATTTACTGTCTGGATATGCAAGTATTGTGTATGAGTGTGCTGTATGTTTGAAGCTTTGGACAGACGTGCTGTACCTGTTTGATATTGTACATAATGTAACTAAAGAAAAGGATCTATGCATCAAAATGCATTTATCTTACATTGGTGGAAAATAACCAGTACTGTATATTAAAAAATCTCTTCCTCTTTAGGTGGCTATCCCTGGTGTATATTAATTTGTAGGTTTTAGTAATTTTTATTATTTACACAATTTCCAAGCCTTAATTATCACAGTAACTTGTGATAATAATATGGTTTAATTTTGAAACAAGTTTAAACATTTACACAATATTACTCATTTTCTCAAATTTTATCAAAATTTTTGCTGTACAATACTGCCATTAGTTTTAATATCTTCATATATCAAAGTTTCTTATGATGAAAAGAAGTTTGTTATTCTTTACAAAGCATCCCATAGATTTACTTTAGGTTTGACTGGTAAGTAAAAATATTTTGCTTGAAGTAAATAATTGTTTACTCAGCTGGACAACATAAATGTATGATGTTTATTGCTGGAAGATACATTGTTTATTCTAAGTAATGAGATCAAGGTTATAAGTGAGAATTTGAGAACTGTTCATTGAATTTCCATATGTATATTTAGGGAACTAATACAGTTACAATATAAGACTCTTGTTACTGCTTTGCTTTCAGAGTTCATTATTTTATACTGTAAATTTTGTGATGTTCTGTTGCATAAGAAATCTAAACACCTGTTTTTATTTAATCTGTTTTTATAATATAAATTATGTAATAAAATATTGACTATTGTACAGTAAACTCTCGATTTAACAGACTGGGGAAAATGGGACAATATCCACTGTCAATTGATTCAGAAATAATGGACAAAATCTGTTGTTTACACAATTCACTATTTTTACAATGACAGGAAAACAATCGTATCTCTGTCCACAATCACCATTACCAGTTACTCGCTCCCCCATATTAGTCGTTCAATCGAGGATTTACTGAAGTATTTAAAGGGAATAAATTTCTGTATGATGTAGCACGTAATGAAAGTAGTTTGTTAGATTATATATTGGTGGATAAAAGGTTGATGGGTAGGCTCCAGGATGTACATGTTTATAGAGGGGCAACTGATATATCGGACCATTATTTAGTTGTAACTACAGTTAGAGTAAGAGGTAGATGGGACAAGCGGAAGGTTGCAACAACAAGTAAGAGAGAGGTGAAAGTGTATAAACTAAGGGAGGAGGAAGTTCGGGTGAGATATAAGCGACTATTGGCAGAAAGGTGGGCTAGTGCAAAGATGAGTAGTGGGGGGGTTGAAGAGGGTTGGAATAGTTTTAAAAATGCAGTATTAGAATGTGGGGCAGAAGTTTGTGGTTATAGGAGGGTGGGGGCAGGAGGAAAGAGGAGTGATTGGTGAAATGATGAAGTAAAGGGTGTGATAAAAGAGAAAATGATAGGCTTATGAGAGGTTTTTACAAAGCAGAAGTGTTATAAGAAGAGCAGAGTATATGGAGAGTAAAAGAAAGGTGAAGAGAGTGGTGAGAGAGTGCAAAAGGAGAGCAGATGATAGAGTGGGAGAGGCACTGTCAAGAAATTTTAATGAAAATAAGAAAAAATTTTGGAGTGAGTTAAACAAGTTAAGAAAGCCTAGGGAAAGTATGGATTTGTCAGTTAAAAACAGAGTAGGGGAGTTAGTAGATGGGGACAGGGAGGTATTAGGTAGATGGCGAGAATATTTTGAGGAACTTTTAAATGTTGAGGAAGAAAGGGAGGCGGTAATTTCATGCACTGGCCAGGGAGGTATACCATCTTTTAGGAGTGACGAAGAGCAGAATGTAAGTGTGGGGGAGGTACGTGAGGCATTACGTAGAATGAAAGGAGGTAAAGCAGCTGGAACTGATGGGATCATGACAGAAATGTTAAAAGCAGGGGGGATATGGTGTTGGAGTGGTTGGTACTTTTGTTTAATAAATGTATGAAAGAGGGGAAGGTACCTAGGGATTGGCGGAGAGCATGTATAGTCCCTTTATATAAAGGGAAGGGGGACAAAAGAGATTGTAAAAATTATAGAGGAATAAGTTTACTGAGTATACCAGGAAAAGTGTACGGTAGGGTTATAATTGAAAGAATCAGAGGTAAGACAGAATGTAGGATTGCGGATGAGCAAGGAGGTTTCAGAGTGGGTAAGGGATGTGTAGATCAAGTGTTTACATTGAAGCATATATGTGAACAGTATTTAGATAAGGGTAGGGAAGTTTCTATTGCATTTATGGATTTAGAAAAGGCATATGATAGAGTGGATAGGGAAGCAATGTGGCAGATGTTGCAAGTATATGGAATAGGTGGTAAGTTATTAAATGCTGTAAAGAGTTTTTATGAGGATAGTGAGGCTCAGGTTAGGGTGTGTAGAAGAGAGGGAGACTACTTCCCGATAAAAGTAGGTCTTAGACAGGGATGTGTAATGTCACCATGGTTGTTTAATATATTTATAGATGGGGTTGTAAAAGAAGTAAATGCTAGGGTGTTCGGGAGAGGGGTGGGATTAAATTATGGGGAATCAAATTCAAAATGGGACGTGACACAGTTACTTTTTTGCTGATGATACTGTGCTTATGGGAGATTCTAAAGAAAAACTGCAAAGGTTAGTGGATGAGTTTGGGAATGTGTGTAAAGGTAGAAAGTTGAAAGTGAGCATAGAAAAGTGTAAGGTGATGAGGGTATCAAATGATTTAGATAAAGAAAAATTGGATATCAAATTGGGGAGGAGGAGTATGGAAGAAGTGAATGTTTTCAGATACTTGGGAGTTGACGTGTCAGCGGATGGATTTATGAAGGATGA